TAGAAATTTGGATTCATTGCAAGTTGTTTCCTTGATACTTTTTATAATTCAAAATGATATACCTAAAAGCCAGGAAATTTCATATTTTCAACGGCAAGCGATGCAAAGGCTTTCGACTACTTTTATACCAATGTAGATGGTGTTATCAATGGAAAATTTTGAAAATTCATCTAGCTAAGTTCTGATAAAAAAAAGTCATTCATAGCTATTTGTTACTTATCGAACGAATTAATATTCTCAAGCAGCGATCACGTACACCAATCTATTTAATCAGTTTTTCAATGTCTTGAGACTAAGTCATCCAATTTCAAAATAAGATCGCCAAATAAATAAATAATAATAATTAAATAAAACAAATAAAAAGAAATAAAATGGGAATCAGTGGCTTTCGGAAATGATCATATATCTTTAAAATTGAGCAAAATGTTTCTTAATTTGTCTACTATCGAAGAAAAAAACTTTTAAAATGCGAAACTTGCGTTTCGTTAAAATGTAATTTTGCAAAAAAAATCGAAAAAAAGTTCCTTAGTTTATTGTACTTTAAATGATTGTTAATAAATAGAACAAACGTTAGAAACAAATGTGAGATTTTTAGTATTTTGCTAAGAATGAAATTTTTCTAAATCTTTTCGGCATTCGAATTCCAGTTGCAAACAGGTAATTTTTTTAAAGAAAAAAAAAGTAACGATAAATGGCGTTTTGAAAAATTATGCATTAAAATTTCGATGTATAACACTTTCAAAAATAAATAGAATTACTTAACTGTTAAAAATTTAAAATTTCTCAAAAATAATGTGTACTTTTTCCGCTGAAGTTTCTGGTTTTCTTTATCGAATTTAGAATTTTGATGAAATTATTTGGATAAGCTGTTTTCCGCTAACCAACTTTCTAAAAAAAAAAAGAAAGAAAATTCAACGAAATACAAGGAAATTTTAGCTTTAAGAGTTTTTAAGATAAAAAAGGCACTAAAATTTTAATGTTACAGTGGATGCTACAAAAATTAGTCTCACAAATTTACATCACGAAGTCTATATTCGCCTCTTGTGCTAGGGTGTTTAATTTAAATTATGACACCATAAGGAAAAATGTCTTCTAGATGCAGTATTTTTTGAAATTAATGTCGTAAAATAGAACCATAAAAAAATGTAATGAATAACTTATTTTCTTTTTATTCTCTAAGGACCTTTCATGTTGCAATTGCGCTTTGATAATACATAAGATAACAAATCATTAAAATTAAAACACAAATCTTGTAAAAATTTAAATCTAAAGATAATTATTTCTTTAATGTATTTTTACAAGAGAATTCTTTGTTTTTTTTTTTTGTTTTCAGAAAAAGATAGCTTAAGAAACGAGCAGTCGTGGCCGAGTGGTTAAGGCGATGGACTTGAAATCCATTGGGATTTTCCCGCGCAGGTTCGAATCCTGCCGGCTGCGTAATTTTTTTAATTAAGTGTATGTGAAGTACAAAAAGCTCATTTCTTTCCCAATTTTTTTTTTTAAATTTGAAAAACTATGAGAGAGGGGAGATACAATAATTTACAAATACGCTTTCTTTAAATGATAAACTGTATCTTGAGAATTTTAGTTTTGAATTATATATCGATAACATCATTAAACGAATTAAATAGATAAATATACGTTTCAATGCTAGCTTTTATTTGCCAGCTGCCAACAATGACAATCCCTTTAGGTTGAATAGTCTTATGATAAATTTTTTAACTTAATTGCTACTTATTTTACCTCACTACTGAGATTAGGGTATTCAATGTAAATCATTAAAAATATTTTATTTTTGATTAGGGTAAAAAGCATGTGAGAATAACCATTTCTTGTTGAATATTGAAAAAAAATTGAATTTGAAATTCACAGAATCTTACTTTCATTATTTTTCTTCTGGAATCTTACCGACTAATTTCTTTCACTTTTGTAAAACGATGAAGAAAATGGAGTAATACCGGGTAGCAAAGGCGTGATGGAGCTAAACTGTTCGACCTGGAAACTGTCAGATTTCATCAAGATATTCATTATTTAGTTGTGTTTAGTTTAAATTGTGTATTCATTGCTTAGATCATTCTTGAAAAATCATTGATGTACGATTTCTTTATAAATGATTTTTTTTTTCTAGAAAAAGTTCAAACACTTGATCTTTGATCCACTTGTAATCTTCTCTCTATTGATCACTCGATCCACTAGTGGGGTAAAACCAAGTACACATGCTTAATATATGAAAAATTCAGAAGTATTAGAAATTCAGTGAAAAATCAACAGACATTTCTTTTTCACGTGAGAATTAATAAAAAATATAGTGCTTGCTATTATTTTTTTTAAAATGTTCATATAAAAAGTACAATTTTGTATAATGGATCTTCAAAATTCTAACAGAATATGAAAATAAGTTTTCTTGCGCATTGAATAAGAAGCCCACAATAAATTTCACCCTTGGATTTAATTGTCTTCTTCCTCCACTGCACTGCAGCTCTCGTAGGCCTAGTATAGACGCACATCAAGGAGACACCCGTTCTTATCCCGGGAGCTGAGGTTATCGAAACAAAACAGAACAATTCTACTATTTGAACAAAATCTTTATTGTTTACTAGGGTATGAATCGTTAGTATGCATACAATAAGCTGGATAAAAAAGGATTTTAATAACTGTATTGACCAATAAATAAGGATAGTTTAAAAACAAGAGTAGAGAGTTGACATTGTAAAACAAACTTGTCTACACAGAAGCCGGGAATTAATCAACAACAACAAGCCAATATGGTAGGTCCTTTTTTTTGACTGGTAGATTGATTCAGCATTTGTCCGCTTGAAAAGGGAACTAATTTTCACAGAATCGAGGTGCTCGGCCTTACCCCATTCCCCCCTACATTAGTTTATTACAATATTTGTGCAAGAGCCGTGATGGCTCAGTGATATAGCGTTTGTCTTCCAATGAGGTGAACCGGGTTCGAATCCCAACGATGTCTGGTCGATACGAATACACATCCGGCTTACATCGACCACAGTGCTGACGTAAAATATCCTCAGTCGTAGACGGATCATGGGTTAGAGTCCCTTAGCGGTCAGACTAACCGGGGAAGGTACTCGTGGTCTTCCTCTCCATGTAACGCAAATGTGGGTTAGTTTCATCAAAAAGTCATCCACGAAGTCAAAATTTCTCCCAATACTTGATCCAGGAGATCCCTTGTCTTCTGGATTGGGTTCAAAATTGCAAGGCTACGTAGCTGAGCATTAGTAATAGTAAACCCAAAAATTGGGTCGGCTGTTCAACGACGGTTATAAAACAAATGAAATTTTTTGTGCTAGTTCATCGTCTAAAATTTTGACATGAACGAAATTTCAACGATGGTATGGATGATCATGATTTAGGGAGTGATGAAATTATTCGAAACTTCAGTTTGTTAGAAATTAGAGCTTGTCATAATTATGACTTGTTATTATTTTGCCCGGATTCTGTGATCAATAATTTGTCTTAAATATAAAATAAACGGTTAAATATATTAACAATTCTTTGATTCTAATATCCTTTAATTTAGTCATTTCCACATTTGGCTTAGTTCACCCACCAATTTCTTTTCACTTACTCCTGCATGTGCACAAACATCTCTACTTCTTATGGCAGAACGTACAATTTAATGGCGCATGAGCTGGGAGCAACCGTACTGTACTAAATACAAATGTTATAACGCATTCAGTAATAACATTTCAAACGATGTTATAAACTGAAAATGGCATAAAAAAAGAAGAGAAAAGATTACTAAGGTACCTCATATGGAACTAGCATTTAGAAGGTAAAACCGTCTGTAGATAACATTACGAAAGAAAAGAAAATGTATGTATTTTAATCGAAATACTTCTTCAAACAACAATTTAGTTTCAAACAAGTAAATTTCTAATTTTAATAACATATACTAAAAAATTATTAAAATATAAAATTATGTGCAATTTTAGGAAAAAAAAATGAATTTTTACAATTCCATATGCTAAAATATTTTTTGAATTCAAATAAATTAATTAGTAAATTATTAAATAAAGCTAGAATTTTCTTTTTGACTAGAAAATAAAGAAACATTATGTTATCAACTGAAAGCTTTGAGTATGGTGAAATTGATAAAAAACTAAACTTATAAAATTAATTGAGATAAATTTATGTCTGATATGATAACCTAGTAAAAAAAAAATGTTAATTTTTAATATCTTCTCATAAAAGACAGTTAATATCTCAATATCTTCTCTTAATTTAAAAAAAAATAATTGATAAGTGATTTAGGCAAATTAACAGCATCACATAAAGAATTTCTTTGGATTCAAGAATTTAGTCTTTAAAAAAAAGGAAAAATGAAATCAAATACTATGTCCATTTTCTAAAAATTACGGAGTCCTTTTTCATAAAGAAGCATTTCGAGTTGTGTTTCTCAATCGCGCATTTCAAGCCTTGTCCATTTTCTTAAACACGCATTTTGAACTGTATGCATTTTCTTAAACACGCATTTCAAACTATGTCCATTTTCTTAAATACGTATTTTAAGCTGTGTCCAGAATTAAAAGTTCGCTGCCGATCTACTTCACTACTCGTGTCTGTGTTGCATACTACTCGTTTTGACACTCTGTGACAGTTAGTGAGAGGCAAAGCCACTCCGATATTCCTATGGATCATGGGGCAGCATTGCCAAAAAAATTACATTTAACTTAAGTTATCAAAATTCTACTATGGTTATCTGTAACACAAATCGAAGTAATATAAAAAGAATTACGGATCAAAATTACGGATACTTCACGGATCAAAGTTGCTTATGTATATTCAAATTGTTTGCTCCTCAGATACTTTACAAATTAATTACTTTCACTTTTATAAAGTCACTAAATGGAAACGCTTCAGCCACAATGTTGCCAATATTGGAACTAATAGCTCTGAATTTTTACAAAGTTCTCAACGGCTAATGAGTAACTACACTGCAAAAATATTTATCCAACACTTGGTGTAAAGTTTGCTAATTGCACCATAAATAGGATAAATCAAAAATTATTTTATCTAGGTTGCACCATAAATTGGAAAATATGATCAAGAAATGCGTTTATGGCGCAATCGATTGCACCAAATTTTCGTATTATGACAGGCACGTGACCGATGACTTATTTTGTAGTTGTTGACAAGATGGACGATTTTGTTGTTGAATCTTGATATCATCTCATGCAAGTTGTCTTTGAAATTGTCAATTTCTTTTGAAGGTAAGTAAACTTTTCTTAATTATTTGCATTAATTACAGTTAATTTCTTCAATATCAACTTCAAAAATTTTGTTGTCTGTTCTGAAAGTGTTAGCTTCAAATTTCTTCTAGGAAACTGTTTCGTTGTATGAATAATTAAATATTTTAAAATCTATATTAGCTCTTTTTCAGTAAATAAGGAGATACAGCGATTTTATGTGCACAGAAAGTGCATTTACAGTTTATTTGGCTAAAGGAGCATAGCTTTCCGCCAAATTTACTGCCGATGAAAATGCTCCAGGTTCGTGTTTTTATTTCATTCCGAAATTCATAAAAAATTCTTATGTGCTTTCTGTTAGTATTAAAACTTTTTATCAATATCTATGCTTTTGTTTTGATTTTCATGTTCTATTTTGCTCATTTTCGTTTGCAATGTCACATAATTACACGAATTTTGGTCTATACATTCTAAAATGCTTCTGTTGTAAAATTTTCATTGCGAATTATTCACATCAAATTAATACTGACGGTTGTCATGGAAACTAGATTTCTCTTTACGTTCGTTGAGAGCACGAAGTAGGAGAAAAACTAGTGTAATATTGGGTAATATTGGCGTTAAAGAAAACAAAGCGATATATTTTTTTAATTCGCCAAGAATACCTTACTGAAATTTAGAACAAAACACCGACAAGAATAAGATTTGTTTTAGAACTTTTAGAAATAAGCTGATTTCTTATTATAATTTTTTCTTAAAATATATTTTATTATTAAGATTTTTTAACTAAGCGAAAAAAATTTTCAATGAAACAAAGTATTGTATTTAAAACGGTAATAAATGTATTTTTCTTATTAAATACAAATAAAAAAATACTTTGATACTCATAGATACTCTGCTTTAAATACTTATTTTTCTATGGTTTTTTTATTTTTACTTATTTATTTAATTTTTTTGTAGCTTTATGTATATTAATTTAGCCCACATTTGTGTTTTGTGGGTGAGGGGAAGGATAATATAACCATGAAATTGAACGTTTTCTTTGATCCTCAAAAATGTCATACGTATTCTTTATAATATTTATAGTTGCTTTTGCTTTTTTAAATAATTTTTCTTGAAAAGTTTCATTTTAATTATAAAAGTGAAATTTTTTTATTCTGAAATATATGTGCTTCTATGAAGTAAAAGACCTTTAGTTAAAAAGGCAATCCTCACAAACAGTATACATGTGGAGTTTTAATACTATCCACATGGAATACTGCTTGTCTGTTAATCAGCAGCCATATTCCATAGACTCAACACGAACTCTTTTATCTATGCAAGTGATGATTAATTTGTTCATTTATTATTTTAACTGTTATCAGTTCCTTCAGCAAATTTTTTACTGTGCCGCTCTGCATAAAATTCAATTCACAATTTCTTAAGTGGAGAAATTATATTTTGGTGCTTTAGCGCATTTTAACAATAATAATAATAATAATATTTTAAAATATCAATATCTTTCTTTCCTTTTCGGGATCTTTGTGGGAGAAAGGAGGCTTAAGATAAAAATCCCCCCTCCCTGTATAAATAGTTGGTCTCGAAATTTTTGTTTTTTAAGGTAGTGAAATGTTTTAACATTTTTTTTTGCATGAGAACTACAATTTCTCAGTTTTCTTTATATATTGTATTTTAAAAATAGCAATTAAAATATGACTTGCTTTGATTTATCTTTCTATGTTTTAAAAAGTAAGGATTCAAATTTTGTTTCTTCTGTACATTTTATTAGCATAAATTACATTATTTTTAATCTTCTTTCATTAGCACAAAGGTACCAACAACTTCGATGATTTTAATTGAGAAAGAGATACAGGAAAAATTATTGTTATACCCAGTGCCGAACCTATTGATAAAAATATTTATTCCGCCAAAATCACCAGAATTCCAGAAGGTTATAAACAGTTTTTTCACACTTGAAAAGTGCTAGTTTCAAGAACAGCTTACAAACAAGGAATGTGTATAGTTTCAAGTTTTGAGAATGAAGAACCTGTGTTTGGAAAATTATTCTTTTGTAAATAGGCTCCAAAATTTTATTTGTGTGTAATCTTTTTAAATCTTGTAGTGTTTATTGCAATCAACTAAAAAATGTGATATAGTTAAAGTAATAGCACCAGAAAATCTATAATAATGAATATGTAATAAAAATATTGTTTTTTCTCAAATACTTACCATCATTTACTAATTTATAAAAAAAAAATTACAGTATTTTTTTTCCAAACTGTGGGAAATTTTACTCTTTTTATCAAGTAGTAAATTATGCTTGAAAAAAAGAAATTTAGCTATATTGTAGATTTTAATTCAGATGAGGCAGAATATATCAAGAAATTTAGTATCCTATTAAAATATAAAAAATTATTTTCAGATAATCCCAAATTTCAAAACTCTAAACATTGAGGCATAACATGATTTTTATTTTAAATTACTGTAAATTTAAAATAAGTTTGAATTGAATGCACTCTCTTAGTAACAAAAACATACAATCTATCCTATTTTTGAGTGAATATTTTGTATTTTTTTTTAACGAATGCTGTGATATGTATTAAAAGTATAATATATTTAAATTTTAAGATTTTGCTTAAAAATTATTACATTCTGTCTATGTATACAAATATCAAAGTGATTGTAAATGAATAAATTATGTTTTAATATTGATCTGTATATTTTTTGTTAATATTTCCAAGTTATTTCATTATTTTTACATTTCTAAATTTACTTCAAATTTAATATTTCCATACGTCAATGTTATTAATATTGGAATGTTTCCTTAATTAGAGATTGGGGGTTGACCAATACAATATTCGTCTACTTTTTTATATAAATTTTTACTTCTGAAAGTAATATTTTCATTTTTAAATAGTAAAATAATTTCCAAAATGCATAGTAATAAGAATTTGATTCAGCCTAAAATTAAAATTCTTTTTATTTTCTCTTTAAAACATTAGCGGTATTAACTCCATGGCAGCTGTTCGTGCTTTAAATGAAATTTAAAAAATGTTTCAAATTTTACGTATATCAATTTGAAGAAAGTAAAAGTTTTTATATGAACGAAAATATTTTTAAAGCGCCAAAAAGCAGATAAAGCTAGCATCATTAATAAATATTTATAAAGAAAGGAGAAGATAATTTAAATCAAATTATAATTTAATTATTTAAATATATAAAAATTCAAAAAGCTATTTTTATTTTAGATGTATTATTTAATATATATTTATATATATATATTACATAACACATCTAAAATAAAAATAGTTTTATTAATTTTTATAGATTTAAATAATTTAATTATAATTTGATTTAAATTATCTTCTCTTTTTTTTATAAATATTTACTAATGATGCTAACTTTATCTGCTTTTTGGCGCTTTAAAAATATTTAATAATAGTGCAACCTTACCCTGCTTTTTAGCACTTTATAAATACCTAATAATGGTGCAACCTTCCTCGCTTTTAGTTTCCTTCGAAAATACCAAATCATGGTGCAACCTTCCTCCATTTTTAGTTCCCTTCAAAACACTTATTTTTGGTGCAACCTTTCGCCGCTTTTAGGCTCTTTCAAAATTCCGATTTTTTGGTGCAACCTTCTCTCGTTGTTTAGAACTAGTGAAAGCACCAATATATAGTAAAACTGAGCACGACTTTATGTAGCCAGCAAATGAATACCAATGTTTGGTGCGGCATAGCTCGAAATTTTTTATAGTGTACTATTTGTTGTCCAAATTTTGCCACACAATTTTTTTCGAATGAATTAATTCTCAAGTTAAAATATACCGTAAAACAAAAAGTAAGTCAACCTATAAGTTTATTTTTTGGTATGCAGTTTTTCAATTTTCAAGAGTTTATCCAGAAACATGGGTTTATTAAGTTGGATTAAAATAAGGGTTAAAATTATATTGAAAGTATGAAGCATTGGTAACTCGAAAGTAAAGACAAAAGCTGTGAAATTTTTTATGAGAGGCCTATACTCCTATAAACGATAAACAAAATGCATTTTAAATGAACATGGAAAAACGCATTTTAAATTAATGCATTTTAAATAGACATTCTGAAACGTTGCTAAATATAATTTTTATAATAAGTGTTATAGAGTTTTCTGCACTATTTTTAATCAAATAAAAAATTTTAATTTGTTTATTTTGAATAAAAAGCTGTTGACTTTTATGAAAATATCCTTAGTGACGTCACATATCTAAACTAAGGAAAGAATTCACGCAGTCTGCCATAAAGTTCAAAGCACTCATGTGTAATGAAAAACAAAAGCCAATGTTAATACTTAGAAAAGTTTCAACTTCGGCTTTTATTATCTCTATCACAAAATTTTCATTCTCCTTTAAAGCACTGTTGAGTTTTTGATATAGATTTCAAAAGCAGAAATAAATTTTGTTAAATATAATACCACTTCTTTATAGTGGGAAAAAACGATTCAATAGCATAGTTATTTTGGATCGAGAGACATGTTTTAACACGGAAGAACAGTTTAGATTTGTGTCGAATGAATATTTTATCAAACTTACTCTTAGCTTCCAATATTATCGTCTGTATTTGGTGTATTCATTAAACGATATTTAGGCAAAATAACAAGCTGCTTAAAATATAACCAAGTAAAACTCAAAATATAACCAATATATATAACCAAGCTGCATTGAAAAAAAATGTTAATAGCCCAAAAATGCTGGAAATAACTTAATAATAATAAAATAACTTAATAATAATAAAATAACTTAATAATAATAAAATAATAATAAAATAACTTAATAATAATAAAATAATAATAAAATAACTTAATAAGCTAAAATATTCCAGCATTTCAATACATTTACTTAAAAAATTATTAAATGTATTAAAATATTTAGTTAAGAAAGATATCAGAATAATGTCTTATATCTTAAACATTTTTCGAGAATTCGTTTAAAGTATTAATAGCAGTATTCCGAGCTCAAGTCATTGTAAAGTTAAAGTAAGACAAAGATCGTATCTTGTATATGGGGTTATTATCCTCTTTCCTGTATGTTGATAAAAAGAAAATTATGTATATATATNTTTCAGGCGTCCCATTTTTGAGGGGGACAAAATTAAATTATGCAGTTACAATGGCTTTCAAAATTACACATTTGACGGAAAAAAATTATATTGTTTTTTATAAAGCTTAATTTGAATCGATAATTATTGATGAATTTTTTTAAAGTTATAATTTTTTGAAATTATAATTTTTTAAAATTATAATTTTTTTAAAATTAAAAAAAATATTAGGGGGACTTTTTGAGGTCTCTAATTATGTAGGGGAATATATACCCCCGTCCTCAGTACCAAAGATGCCTGTGACTACTTAGATTTACTTATACTTGGATGGCAATGCAGGATATATTGCATATTGTATTTTAAGAATTTGCAATCAAATGCCTGCTTTCAATTTTCCCTGAGTATCAAAAAAATACTACCGCAAATGGTTAACAGCTCGAAGGGGTATTATGAGAGAATGAATTAGGGGGCAGAACAGAAAAAAAAAGAAAAAGAAATAGAGGAAGTTAGAGTGCAACTTTCGTAATTATGCTTTAGCATCGAATTCTTTATTCACATACCATTGACAAGAATCATCCCATTCTCGAATTTGCGCTCTGTCTGGTTAACTATGCTTCTCAGAGGTTTATTTATTTATTTAAAATAAATACGTTTATATGTGTTCCACGTCCCAGAGGTGCCCTTGAAACTTTTACTATTTTTTTATTTATTTAATTTTCATTTTTATCACTTTCCATTATGCGTCAGACATAGTGTCTAGCAGCGTTTGATTTCTCTTTCTGGGGAGAATTTTTTTTGTAACTGGCTATGAGTGGCCATACTTTGCGCTTGTCCCATTTATTTCAGCCCCTATTTACTAAAAACCAAGACGTTAGTTCATCTGATATGTTACATACATCACCAGCACAGGATTTGGCCAGAAATCCGTGAACAGAGGTGCCACATTCCCTTTTATTCAAAATAAAAGATTCATATGTTCATATATTTAAGAAAAGACAACTGTGCAACGATTAGAATTAAAAAACCCCTCTTACATTAATATGTTTGCTCATATATAAAAGAGCAAGTATGCTTTTGAAATTGCTGTTATGAAGGGTCGAAGCTCTTACTTTCTTCTCCGATTAATATCGCCCATACAAACTTTGCAAAGGTAAAATTAACATAATTTTAGATCGCAATTTTTAAAATTTACCAAAAATATATATTATCCTAAACATATTCAGTAACATATTCAATTTACATTTTCCCAAATTTAAACAGTCACAGTTTACTTGAAAATCATAACGGAACAATATCAATAAATATACTGAAACAAGATTTTTAATGATATATCACAATAACCCTATATTATCAAGTCTGTAGCTGTCTGTGGTACCTCCTAGTGTTTCTATTGTCCCAAAAAGTTGCTTTGTTTTATTGTTTGTTTCTTAAAGGCGTGAAGACTTTCTTTAAATACCAATAAATGAGGGTAAAAAACTATTTTAACTTTAAAACCATAAAACAAAGTTATTAAACAACAAATGTTTGAAAATAAGAGTGATTGAGTACTATGAAAAACAAGCTCTGAGGATAAGACTAAATTCTGAATTAAGAATAAATTCTTTTAATAATTGGAACAGGTAGACAAATCTATTCATCTAATTGTGCATCCCCCGCCCCCAAGTAAGTCAAATGATGGCATGTCTTAAATCGACGCTCTTCATCAGCCCCGGGGAAAGTCCGGGATGTCTGTCATTCGAAAGCACGCGACCCGTTCCCCCAAACATCTATCATTTTTACTTTAATTTATCATCTTCTGATGCTGAGTCTGATAACGGGCCACAAAATTAAGCTCTTGCTTTCTTTTACTTTATGGAGATATATGGACGGATATTTTTTCTGCCTTTTTCTTTCAAAAGTGCTTTGCTTTCTTCCTTTCTTTCTTCTCGTTTTTTTTATTTATTTATTTATTTTTTATGATTATTCATTTTCGAAACTTCACCTTTATGGAATGCATGCATTCTTGCGTATTTGTTTGTCGAATTTTTCCAAAATAGAGTGTAATACCGTAGCTGTTTTTATGACGGAGATTAAGGTAGGGTGAGGAATTAGGATTTTTCATTCTTCTTTTTAGAGCTGCGAATGTGATGGAGTAAGTGTTTTT